GCGGGGGCTGGAGGGCCCCCCCCCCCCGCCCCCCCCGCCGCTGTGCGTGTCCGACTCGAACCGCCTGTTCACGCGGGAGTCGCTGAAGGCCGTGTGGCACGGCCACAAGCTGGACTTGTTCAAGGCGGCGCACGTGGGCGCGCGGGCGCCCAACCCCGAGGTCATCCGGCTGGACGGGCAGAAGCGGCTGCGCCTCCTGGACTTCGCCCGCGGCAAGCGGCCGCTCGTGCTCAACTTCGGCAGCTGCACCTGACCGCCCTTCATGGCCCGCCTGCGCGCCTTCCAGCGCCTGGCCGCGCACTTCCTGGACATCGCCGACTTCCTGCTGGTGTACATCGAGGAGGCGCACCCCTCCGACGGCTGGGTCAGCTCGGACGCCGCCTACAAGATCCCCAAGCACCAGTGCCTGGAGGACCGGCTGCGGGCGGCGCAGCTCATGCGGGAAGGCGCCCCCGGGTGCCCGCTGGCGGTGGACACCATGGACAACGCCTCCAGCGCCGCCTACGGAGCCTACTTCGAGCGGCTGTACATCGTCCAGGAGGAGCGCGTCATGTACCAGGGCGGCCGCGGCCCCGAGGGCTACAAGATCTCGGAGCTGCGCAGCTGGCTCGACCAGTACAAGACCCGGCTGCGGAGCCCCAGCGCCGTGGTCATCCAGGTGTAAGCGGGCGGCGCCCGGCCCGCCCCGCCCGGCGCCCGCGGGGACGCCTCTAGCGTTTCTTGGTGACGACCGATTTGGAAATGGTTTCTCCGGGGCCAGGAAATCGGGTCTGATGTTGTCAAACGCTAGCGCTGCCCGGAGCCCGGGCTGGACGGAGCGGCCTATTTATGCTGTGGGGGGGTGGGGAGGGGGCGGTGTTTCTTTTCGGTACGAGAGTCGTTCGGTCTTGTTTTTATTTTTATTATTATTATTATTGTTATTATGAATTTTTATATGATTATTAATAAAGGAGGAGGAAACCCCCGTCTGCGCTGCCTCTCGCGTGCGCCTCCCTGCGCGCTGCGGGGCCCCGGGAGGAGCCAGGCACGTGCCCGGCCGGGGAAGGCGCTTGGAGGGAGCCCGCGGCGGGGAGCGGAGCGGGGACCAGCGCGCGGCTCCCGGGGCAGGCGCGGGAGGAGCGAGGAGGGCGGGTCGGGGCAGCCGCCAAGGCTGAAACCCTCCAGGTAAGAGACTGGGAAACGAAACCTCCCGGCGGGAAGAGCACACGCCTCTTCCCGGCCCCGCGCATCGGCCGGGGGAGCGGCGGCAGCATCGTGCGCGCTGCCCGAGTGCTCTCCCGGGCGCGGGGGAGAGAGCAGCGAGAGCGAGCGCGGCGGCTGCTCCTGTCGCGTGTCTCCGTGCAGCCCGAGCCCTATTTCTGCAGGGAGGGGCGGGGGTCAGCGTTTCCCCGTCCCCTATTGACGAGGATTTCCCCGTCGGGCCGCCTCAGAAAAGAGCCCTATGCAGAAGACGGGCACGTTGCTTTGCACAGCGGGAGCCCAAGTTACTACCGAGCTACTTGTTTCCGAGTATGTTGAAGCTCCTTTCGGGAGCACTTTTGGCTGGAGATGGATGGCCTCTAGTTCCCGCCCTACATCTGCCACGACAAAATAGTCAAATGTGCACCTGAGGTCAGGCACTGGCACACACTTCAGTGGAAGCTCAGCACCTCTGCATGGGACAGCTGTGATCCAGGTGTTGCCGCAGTGAACGAGGTGCCTCACCTTGGGTATCCACGCCTGACCACTTTGGCAGTTGATTCCAATCCTCTTATTCTGCCCCCATTTATTTAGGTGACCTCCCTGCCTACTCCTGCCTCTGCCACCTCCCACCTCCCTGAAGGCTCCAACTCTGAGCTGGAGCAGTTTGTTGTCACAAGCATCTGTAGTGACATAAAAATAAGATCATTGTCTGGTACTTGTTGGTTGGAGGGTATGAAATAAACATTGTGGGGTAACTGCTTCCAATTGCCAAGCAGCAGGTAAAGTTCCCACATAGCTTTCCAAGAATAATTTGCTTTCCATGGTCAGGGGAGTGAAGATCAACCTGAGGACTCTGCAGCAAAACCCTGGCCCTTGGGATGGGAGGGAAAAACTCCTCTGAATTCCCCAGATTCCTGTAGGGTAGCCCTCTGTCTTCTGATCTGGGTGCTAAATTTGGATACAAACAGCACAATTAGAGATGCACATTTCATTCATCACCGGATACAGGAGTCTGAAATAAATAATGAATTTTAGTGACTAGGTCATTTCTGATGACTTTTAGTCTGCCCTGGATGTGTTTAAACCATTTAAGTATAATACTGGCACCTCTCTCCTTTTTATGAACTCAAACCAAAATATGTCTGGAGCGATATGACCCTGGCATCCATTCCTGCGCTTGATATGACCCCAGCACTAGTTCCTGCCCAGGGCAGGGGGTTGGACCTGATGGTCTGTTTAGGTCCCTCCGACCCTAAGCACTATGATACTATGTCAATCTTTTCCTGTTTCTTAGCACTTCAGTTGTTACCCTTTCCTCTTGCAAGGTTTAGGCTGCTGCTTGCATAAAAAAATCTTCACAAGAGGGACTCTTTTTCTTTGATTAAGGGAACTAAGCTAGAAAGGACCTTTTCCAACTACGTGTTGAAAAGGGGATACATCCCTGTCTAAACTATTCCTAACCAGCGCTTATATGTCCGCTGGCAGAGATTCCACAACTTATTTAGGTTACTTATTCCAGCACTTGTTCACCTTCAGTTAGAAAGTTCTTCCTAATATTTATCTATTGTTCCTAACTTGCGAGGAACCAAATCAACAATTGACTTATTTCCCCCCTTACCTTGAGTAGGAAGAATAACCAATCTTCTCCTGAGAAACGGTCATAGAATGGATTCCATACTGAGCGTTCCCCAGTGGGCTCCCTTTACTGGTTACAGATGAAGTCGGCTACAGCCACCCTGCACAGCACCAGAGCTTTCAATGAGCTCATCTCCATTAGAAAAACTTTACTGTGTGTGAAGACAATTGTAGGACAACAGAACAAAGAATACTATGGCATTTCCTTCACTAGAGGTTTTTAAGAAGAGGCGCAAGATAGCCATCTCTGTGAAGACTTAGGAGTGGCAGATGACAAAACAAGGAGCAACAGTCTCAAGTTGCAGAAAGGGCAGTTTAGGTTAGATATTAAGAAGTATGTTCTCACTAGGAGGGTGGTAAAACACTGGAACAGGTTACCCAGAGACAGTGGCAATGCATAGGGGGTGCACGGGGGTGTGTGTGCACCCTCTGAGAGTGCTGATGCACCCCCTGATACCCAGCATTCCCCACTTAGGCGATGGGCAGGGGGGGCAGGCAGGATCGCTGGTGCCCCCCCTGAAGTGCCAGCCAGGGTGTGGGGGTGCCATGAGAAGCGCCCCTGGCCCTTCTGGGCATGCTGCTGGCACTTCTGGGTCGGTGCTCACAACCGGCGGTGGGGACTTCCCCACCCCCTGGTTGGCACAATCGGTGGGGGGGCCTCCCCCCCCAGTCACTTACTGGCCACTGGCCTCGGTGGGGGGAGCCTCCCCCCCCAGTCACTTACTGGCCACTGGTGGGGGGGCAAGTGCCCCCCCCCTTTATTCAGGAGGCACCAGTTGCCCATGCCCAGAGAGATGGTGGAAGCTCCATCCTTGGGGGTTTTCAAACCCCGGCTAGGCAAAGCTTTGGCTGAGATGATCTAGTTGGGGCTGGTCCTGCCTTGAGCAGGGGGTTGGACTAGATGACCCTTTCCACCCTAATTTTCTATGATTCTGTGAGTATACATCATGTGCAAGGAGATGGAACTATATGATCCTTAAGGTTTCATCCAACTCCATCATTCTAAAAAGAGACAAATGAAATGACACGATGCTGACCACAAGGATGCAGCTGCTGTAGCCCCTGGCAAGTCCTGTTCTGCTAACCATGCGCCATCAGCAGTTAAATATGATCAGCTGGCTCAATGCTGGAAACTCATTCGATGTAAAACAAAGAAAAACATGATCAGCATTATGCCAGGAGATCGTATTTAAACTCAGGTTCCAACAGCCTGCACACACAATTAGCTGAGATAGGGGGCAAGCTGTGCTTAGCCTTTGAATGGACCTGTTAGTCCTGGTCAGCACTGCACTACCTAACTTGGCTCTTCGTTACCTCGTTCAGCAATGATATCAAGTTTGTTGAGGTTGCCCTGAAGCGTTAAAGTTTAGAATTCTTTCTAGATTTTAGTTTTAACTTTACAACAAAGCTTCCCTTTGCTTTCTCACTTTCCCTTCCTAGTCCCATATGTTTGTAGCCTGTCTAGGCTGTAGCTTGGGGGAGTCGTGAAGCTCTTTCAGCTCTTTCTCACTTGCAAAAGGACTTCTGCTTGGACAAAATGCATTCAAGGAAGTGGCTGTTGTCCTTAACTGGCTTCTGATAGATAACGGTATTGGCTCCTACTTTACCCTTGGCTCTTACCAGACTGGTCAAAAGTTATCAGAGGTTAAGCTTTTTCTTTTTTTTTTTTTTTTTTTTTTTAAATCAGTTTTAAAATTGCTTTCCTGCTTCTAACCAGAAGGCAGAGCCTTTATCATTTTCCCTTTAATCAGCAGGAGAAAAGAAATTTGCTGTGAATGCCCGGAATCCCTGAAACAGATCACACTTTCCCTTTGCACAAATCAAAGTTATCTGATCTTATTACATCCTCCACTCAAAATGAATCATAAGCTTCTATCCCACTGAGGTTTCTCAGGGAGACTTGTTTAGATCAGATTAGAACAACATGCTTCACTTCTAAAAAGCTCACTGTGTCAAAAGTGTTTCCAGTTGGTACAGGGCATTAAGAAATGCCTTATTTAAAAAATAAATGTTATTACCTCATCTAGCCCCTCTCTCCAAAGGGCATGAAAAACAGAAGTCAAAAGTCAGCAAAGATACATCAAACAGAGAAAGATCTTATTGGAGATTAGGTATTCCTGTCAATTGGTTAATTATTTTAACAGTTGCACTCAGAGATGTAGACTGACGC